CACTGATCACCCCACCTGAAACCACAGTTAACACTCAACATCCCACATCTTCACTTGGCACCCACCCAACATGTCCTCATCACCCCACCCATGTTGACCAACCCTATCCACAACATGACTCCAGCCCTTGACCTTCTCCTCCTCGATCTGATTCATCCAACCCTCTCAGCTACTTCCTATCCTATGCCATCACCCACCTGTTGGCTCCTTAACCCTGTACCCACTTACCTGGCACTCTACTTCCTCACTTACCCAGCTGCCTGGTGCTCTACACCTTTATCTGCCAAGCACTTTTATCAATCGAGCACAATACCTCATCACCCACCTACTGCCCTATCTCTTCACCAGTCACTCGACTAAGCATCTCCTCACCCAAGTGCCACCCTAACTTCTTACCCACTTAGCAACTGATTTCCTTGACAGCCTGGCCCATTGCCCCCTTATCCTCCAGCTGCCCTATCCCTCACACAATTATCTTACACATTTTTGTTGTCTGTTATCAAAGAGGCTTTTGATCTTTATGCTTCAGAGAACAGCAGTTACTGTTGGAGGCTTGAATCAGAAATACGGAACTCTGGCGGAGGGTAAATAAAAAGGAGAAAAGTGACTATCCAAATGGGATTACCATTCCTCGGAAGATTCAGACCATAGTTCCTCCTCATTTTTCTTTTCTTTATTGATACCAGACCAGGGCCTGCAAAAGGCTTGGATGGCAGAGAGCTGGAAAGGCTGAGTAAAGGATGTTCTTTATGTTTATCTTCATGACAATGCCCACATAAATGTGATTATTCAGTATTTAAAAAGAGTCCCCTGAAAATAACCTCATGCTGTCATTAGTAAGGATAATCTTGAATGCAATATTGGATATAAATTATTGCCATGGGTTGCTACCAGTGTGACTGACCTTGTCTTTTTTTTCTACATCACTAACATAACATGAGATATATTGTTAGCCAATGTATGAGAAAGTATTTCATATTCTGGAATTTTTAACTGATCATAAATTTTATATAACAGCTGAAGCCTGAAGCTTTTTTTTCCCCTCAATTGGTGTTCTAAGTTTGAAATGATCTTAATTATTTATGTTAGTTCCTGAGTCGTGGTTGACTTAATGCCAGCTGACAGAATAGCTCTTTAGTTTGAATGTGAGGAATTTTGTTATTGGTAGATTTTTCAAAGAAAGTTTGCTTTAATCTCATTGAATTAAAATAAAGCGCAGTTCATCAATCTCTTCTGCGAACCTTTAGAAAATGTTTTTCTTTTTCACATGGTTTCGTTTTCAATGTACTGATTAAAGGAATGAAAATGTACTGTGAGATAATCAACTCTATGTAAACCAATATGGGGGACTTTCTCATGGCCTAGAATTGACATTATTTTCTGTAATTTGACATCATTATCAGGGTTGTAGCTTTGCAGAACGTCTCAGCACTAAATACAGAAGCTAATGGAATCGAAATTCACTCCCCAATATGAATTCATTGAAGATTTCATTAACAGTTTCAAAATGGCAGCGGCGGCAGGTAGGGAGGTTTGGGCTTCTCAGCCCATCCAATCCCGATCACCAGGCTGACTGCTTCTTTCTTTACTTTTTTCCTTCACTTATCTTTCATATCAAACTTCATCCTATCTTCTTTGTGCAGCCAAGGTGGATGAAGGTGGTTATGAGGGGCTGTTGCAGTGGCAGTGGTGTGGTGGAGCCGGTCTGTTCCTCTTGGCCATGGCAGCCATGTTCTCAGTGACAGTGATTTGGTGGGTCTGGTCAATTCCTGCTTGCAATGGCTGTGATGTGGTGCCTTTGGCAGGGACTTTGACAGTGGTAGCGTGGTGGGTCAGGCCCTTGCAGCAGCAGCTGGGGGGTTAATGCAGTAGCAGACCCCACTGTGGATCTGGTCCATTGCTATGGTAACCTCAGCAATGGCTTTGGCATTGGTGTCCCGGAGCCCCTTCGAAATCCAGGAAAAGTGAAGGAAACAAAAGATGAACTTTTTCTTAATTATTTCTTTCTTATATTCTCTATAAATAATATGGTGCCAAAGTATGGTGACTTAAACACCTTTCACTGTATTTTCCTAAATACAAGTGAGAATAAATTACTGTACTATTCTATACTATTCTATTCAGTCTTTGTGATGGATTTTTTACTGACTCCTTTTCAGAACTATCAATGAAGTCTGAGCTGGATGGAATGAATAACTTTCATGTTCTATAGTTATCTTATTGATATTATTTTGTGTAATTATTCTGCAATATATGACCCAAGAGAAAGTAATACCAAAGACAAAGATTAATTAAGACTTATTTTTTTCAATTTCCTTTCATTCAGTAGTTTCAGAGCACCAATGATAGACTCTAGGGTTGCATCTCCCAAGGCTTCCTACAATTTTCTACTCATCCAATGAGACAAATTCCATCAATGCCCAACTAACTGAAAGCAAATTAAACAATAATCATTTTTTTTTGGCTATCTTGACTGAATTAAGGGGTGGTGGATCGTACTCACACAGCTGGTAACAAATGGTGGTGGCAGAGGCAGGACGTGCGGCAGAATGTTGGTGGAGAACAAAAACAGCCGACAATAAGAGGAGCTCAACAACATTTACCCCAGCAGAAGGAACTGTTTCCCTGAGGAATGTAATGGCAAGAGCAGAGAGGGAATGGAACTTAAGAAAGGGGATGGAGGTGGCATGAGAGGGATGGCATGAAGGTTAGGATGGTATGGAAGGGGTGGACGTAATGATGGAATTAGGGACTCTGGCAAAGGCAGGGAAAACTCATTGATATAATTTAGTATTCTGTAGATATTCTACATAGTGGGAATGAGGAATAATTAGATTTGAGTGTTAGAAAACTGCTTAGTGAATTAAAAGGCAGCAGTGGTATTGATTCTGTAGGTGAAGATGTTAACAGTCCATACAGTGTACATAATCTAACTTCAGATGTAATGTGGGTTTTGTCTCCAGCAGGGCAGTTGTACCTGGCTTAGCAATGTTAATGTTAGCTCTTGTAACATAAGAAATAGACAAAGATAGTGTGGTATTGAAAGTTTCACCAGATGTTTATTACAGCTCTTGATATTTACAAATATCACATTCACAAGCATTTCATGCCTGGGCTAAATATTAATTTGGGTAACAAAGAATGGTACACTTCTGCCAACATGTCATGCTTCATGTGAGACAACAAGGTGCAGGGCTGGATGAACACAGCAGGCCAAGCAGCATCATAGGAGCAGAGAGGTTGACGTTTCGGGCCTAGACCATTCATCAGAAAAGGGGGAGGGGAAGG